TGTTCACACAACTCACTTGTGAAACACAGTTTTCCCTATCTTCTCATACTATGGGGTGTTATACTTCCTAAACTAGCTTCCTCGTTGAACCAGTGAGCTAACTAGGTTTGAGTCCTTCATTGAAATAGTGGCATAATCCCTTATTAAACTAGTGGGACAATATATACATACAATTCGGGCAAGCCATCAACTCGGATGGGAGTCCTACCACGTGGATTTAATTCTCTACTCCTCTTTTTAGGTGAACTCTCACCTCTTATAATCATGTAATGCATATATTTTGAGGCATGCAATTACTCAATGTCAAATATGCACAAACACATCATCGTACACATCTCATACATAAAAATCACATTAACACATATAATTCAATCACTGAACTCATCATATTCATTGAACTCCTCAATTTAACTTTTCATTGAACTCCACAATACATAAATCATTGAACTTCTCTAATTCACAATCATTGTACTTCACATATCCACAATCATTGAACTCCTATATAAATCAATCATTAAACTCCCATATCAATCACAATACGAAAATCCACTAATTATGTTTCAAAGAATTTCATATAATAAGTCATCAAATTCACAAAAATCAACCTAGTGGATTCTTACATATTCTATGCCACACTTGCATTTCATTTCATTTTACGCATTTCAATGATCAACTAAGCTAATTAACATACAAAAGCATAAGATATAATTTCCCTAGTTACCTCAAACCTTTAAGAGATTAAAGGTTTCACATCTCTAATACTCAATTCCAAAGCTTCTAAGAAGCTTGAATGCTGCCCAAGATAGTCACTCTACAAGCATTTACAATGCAAATCATCAATATTCATATTTGGGCTAATTTTCACTAATAATTTAACACTTATTAATGCTCAAGATTCATTGTTGACTATAAAAGTACTCATAAGGTTTCTTAACTTCCTTTAATCTTCATTAACATTATTGAACTCTTTAATAATCATTAATGGAACCACATTATCCCAACTAGCACATTTATAGGGAATTTTTGGACATTTAATACCCCTTAACCACCAATCATCATAACTCTATGAGTATTAAGTTTCATTAGCTCAATCTAGCCTCATTAACTCTATTTAAGTTAATAGGTTCAAACCCATAATCCATATGGATAAAAAATCACCATTATCAACCAAACCCTAACTTTCAATACCAAGAAAAATGGAAGAAGGAAGAAGGACTTAAGTGTAGGAAGCTTACCTTAATGTTTAGGAGTTTTAAAATACTCCCAATACTCAGATTCTCCAAGCCCAAGTAGAGCATTTTCATTCCTCCTTCAAATATTTTTGTTTTCTCTCCTATGTTGCATCAATTTCACGATTTTATTACAATAGAAAAGTGACCATACGCCGTAGCGGACGCATAATATGCCTCGGTGCATGGCACAAGGAGCATTTTCCTAGGCGTGTTACCATACATACGTTACGGTGGCTTATCCAAAAGTCGTGGCACGTGGCATAGAACCTTTCCTTCATATTTTCTTTCTTTTTTTCAATCCTGGGTGACCCGATTCTCTCTCGAACTCACTTTTAGGGCTGAAAATAAAATCAAACATGCCCATTAGGTCTCTCAGGCCACACATCTCGGTAATACACTTAATTAATCCAATTGAGGATGTTACAACAATACTCTAGATCCAACTTTCAAAGCGCGTCGTTTTGCCATCTAATATTCAATTAAGTGTCCACCCATAGCTTTCCAAGCCCTCTGACTATTAGCATTGTCTCATACCAAATTCTCAACCGTTAAAACGTTAGACACTCGAACCCAAAATGAATTATTTTCAACCAAAACACATAAGGAAGTCAAAAACTCACAACCTAGTGCCAATAGCCCTTAGACCACTTGGGCCAACTTAAATAGACCACTCACAACTAGAGTTAGGAATTCGGGTAGATCGGGCCAATTCAGGCTCGAACCGAATAAGCTCAACCCTAACAAGCTCGAACCTAAATAAGCCCGACTCCCTGAAAAGCTTGAAGCTAGGCCTGAATTCCTTTGGGCTTTAGGTAGTTTGAATACCTAAATTTTATTTTTAAAATCATTTTTATTAATTTTTTTACTTTAAAATTAATTATTTTATTTTATAAAAAATATAAAATATACATTTTTTATACTAAAATGATGTATAGGACTCAAATATATAATATTGTAATATAAAATGACCTAAAATTTCAATAATTAATTAATATTTATTATATTATATATATATATTAAGAATAAACTTTTTTATTTCAGTATTTGGGCCAAGCCCAAACCCAATTAGGCTTGGCCCGAATAGGCCCAAACATAAAAAACTATATTTTTTTAAAGTTTGGCCAAAATTACCCATTCTACTCACAACCAATAGGCTAATCAAATCATAATAATAACTATCCATACACAACATAACCATAATTTCCCCTTTTTACAGTGATATCGATGGGTGGCTAACATTCATCATAGATGTTACTTTAGCCAAACCAAAACATAATCCACACAAACATATCACTTGCATAAATATCTGGACCTCACAATTATTTCAATATATATACATCAATTTAGGTCAAGATACACACTCATGCCTCATGAATTTCATGTAAATGAAAACAAAACAATGAAATGATCCTAAGTGGCATAATGTTCATATCATTCGTTACAAAACCAAAATAATAAAGGAAGAGACCTATACAAACATAGCCCTTAGTTCTCGATAGTCCTTTCCTTACCTTTACCCTACTAAAGCCCTCACCTATAAAATATAATTACAAGATGAGATAAACATTTCAGTAATAAAATAATTCACTACTATCAATTAACATGTACAACTATGCGCAAGTAAAACTCATATAGGTAAAAATACTCATTTAGCACATTCAAACATGTCATGTCCATAAACACAAGTCATTTTCCACTCTAGTGTGATTATTCTACCATCCGAGCCTTCATATTGCCCTGACTGAAACCATAGGCTCTATTAGACCAAGTGTACATTCATAATGACTTGAGCTTACCTTCAGTGGTAGGATCACTTGGCTAAAGGTGTCCTATCCTACTTCCAGATTATGATTTCCCCCTATCACACATGAATCGGGGTGTCTTTCTCCAACATCGCATCACTGATGAGAAGGAGCGTCAATCTCCAATGCCATATCCCACATAGATAACAAGGAGATAATCTCCAACACCATACCTTACAAGGCATTAAGGAGATACATGACATATGGACTTTCACTACTTCTTCTTATGGGTGAACTCTCATCCCCTATCATGATCATGCTCACACTTATCATACGTACCACATATTTATAACCAAACTATATTTAACTCATATGAGAGATTTTCACAACTTTCATTGTTTTAAAATCATTTCAAATGCACAAAAGCCTTATTTCGCTATATGTAATGCTTTTGAAACACATGTAGACAATTTACTATATTCTCATAGACGGTTAAGCATTTTAATCAAATAGTATAAATTATTTCGTTACCTTAACTCTTTTGTCACAAAAAAAGGTTACTGTGGTCTAACGTTTGCTCCACACGTTGCACATGCACGGTAACACTTAAGCAACTTTTAATCTACACAATTAAATAATAATTATCAATTATCACTCTAATTATACCCCAAAAACACTAAATGTTAGGTATCTATTATACCTAAATATCTCATTTCATCAACCTCAACTCTTCCAACACACTTCATAAATCTTACTGAGCATTCAAACACACTAATATCATCAACTATTTACCCACATTGTTCTAAAACTCCTAAATTATACTTAAGATTTGTTCAAATTTTAATGAAAAAATTCCAAATCCATACAAAACCCATAAACCTAGGTTTAGAAATTTGATTTAACTCTCCAAGACCTTTACTAAGGTGATGGGTTCGGTAATATCCTAAGAAAAACTGAAATCAAGTCCTACATTTTTCTAAAACTACATAAAATCGCATAAAGGGAGAGGAAGAGGTGTAGGAAGCTTACCCAAGTATAAATTTTGCTCCAAATGCTTCCAAATTATCCCAAGGTTGCGCCTTAGTAGTCACCAGTTGTTCTTCGATGCCTCCTCATGTTTACTCTCATCCTACTTCTAATTTTCGGTTTGATTTGCGAGTCTGATAAGTGCAGATCTTGTATTTGCGACATGGTGCATGGCACAAAGATTTCCACACACGTTTTAGGTCTCTATTCGTGCCACGACTTGCTCAAACTTTGACCTAGCCTCTTCCAAGGCTGTACAAGGATCCAATAACCATATTACTCTTCTTAGAACACCATTAAATTAAAAATTCATTTAAATTGACTAAAATATCCTTCTCAACACTTAAAATTTTCAGATTTGAAATTCAGAATATTACAGGTGTGGTGAGGGGAGGCTTAGGCGCCCAGCGGAGGGAGTAAGAATAGTGCTATGCTTGGCTCACAGAGAGAAAATGAGAGGAGAGAAAATGAAGAGGACAGAAAATGGAAGGGATACAATTTTTTCTCATTGTGCTTGGCTGAGTGAGAGAAAATAAAGAGAAGAGAAAAGTTATTAATTTTATATGAACAATAATAATTTTATTATTTATAAAAATATTTATATAATAAAAGTTACTATTTTAACATATTATATATAATAATTTTTATCATATATTATTGACTAAATAAAAATATAATTAAAAATTATTTTAATACATATTAATTTTAAAATTTGAAACTACAACCAAATATGAGGTACTTAACTAAAAATTAACCTGAAAATTTAGAATTAACATTTGTTTAATTAGTCTAAAAATTAAATTTAATTCTTGTTTAGTAAAAGTTCATGATCAAAATATAACTACACTATAAATATCATAATAAAAATAAAGAGAAGGAATTTTTTTTTTTTTTCAAAATCTCTCCATATTTTAAAAAAAATTAAAAATTAAAAAATATAAATTTTATATATTATTTTTCTTTCACTTCTCACTCCTTTCACTATTCTTTCAGTAATCAAACGCAGGAGAAAGCATTATTTTCCTCCACTCTTCTCTTCCCCCTCACTTTTTTTCCCTGCCAAGCTTAGCATAAGAATCCAAACGGTGGCATTGCTACGTCGGTAGCGTTGCAAATCCAAATCATGAGTTGTTCAGTATAACTTCAACGCGCCTCTCAGACTGATTTCGACGACTATGGCGGCTGATTTTTCTGCTCTGAGTGCAACGAGGTCTACGGCGGAAAATTCCCTGGAGAAACGATACCGTTCGATATTCGATCTCACGTCTGATTTTTTCTACTCATGTCGCCTTCTTGCTTCTCCTCAATCGTCCGTTTCGGACAACCTTCAGAATTGTCAGGACTCAGCGCATGAAACCCTTGATCCTATTGAGGACGACGGTAATGGCTCCCAAGGCGTCGTTGTTTCATTGCCCAGGTGGACTTGCAATACTTGCAAGGCTCAATTTGAGTCCCTTCAAGACCAGCGTTTGCATTTCAAATCGGATATTCATCGGTTCAATGTAAGAATGATTTTCACTGCGTTATTCCTCCGCTTGGTTATTTTCGACTTTTTTTATTATTGTCAGCATCTGCTTCCAGATTCCTCTTTCCGATAAGTGTTTGGTGAAGTCTACGTACTATTTTTTTTTAAAATAAAAATATAGGTGCTTTCCCTTGAAGGACATCAAAATTAATTAATTGGTGTATGGATTTGTATTGGGTTCTATATGTTTGTTTTGGGAGCTTAGCATGTATCTCTCTAATTTTTGTGTTAAAAGACGATGTTAATTTTTCTGTTGCAACTTACTTCTCATTTAACGCCTATGTTTGGCTACATTTAATATTGATCATAGGTGAAGTTGACAATGGCTGGAAAGAATATTGTGAAGGAAGAAGATTTCGAGATGTTGACACCTGATTCTATCAAAGACTATGATGTTTCGAGCATATCAGGTTCAGAAGATGATGATGATGATAACGAAATTGAGATTCCAAGACAACATGAAGTTGGTAAAAAATTAAATGAAAGTTTTAGGCAGAAGTTATTTATCTGCCTTCCGTCAGGGGAGAGAGTTTCTGTTTGGAAATGCTTAATAATGAATATGGGTGAGAATGTATTAAATGAAAATGAAGTGATTGAGAGGTTGAAGTCTTTGACTCTTGAGCCCAGGAATAATTCTCACTTGAGAATTGTGCTGCTTGCATCCGGTGGGCACTTTGCAGGGTGTGTGTTTGATGGTGACAGGCTTGTGGCTCACAAGACATTCCACAGGTTAGCATACATATCTTGGTCATGTTAGATGGTATGGAAATATAATTATAATTTCCGGTCCATGCTTCCTTGAGGCAGTTTGTGGGGCAAAGATTACCTTTGTGTATGTGTGAGAGCCAGTGCAACCATAAAACCATGCAGAAAGACAAGTATATGATGTAATGTTGCAAATTAAGATTGTAAAGCTCGTCTGGATGTGAAGTCATTACACCATTATGTGGTAGAGTGTGTAGATATGCTAGGAGTTTGATTAGCTAGTTATGTGTGCCATTTTTTGTCTGTGACACAACACCACATCTGCATGCTTATTTCAGAAACTCACGTGGGAGTGCTATTCTATTCCTTGAGAAAGAACAGAAATCTTTTGAAGTCAAGGTTAGTTATAGTCCATAATGTAAATTGATTGATTGAAGTCCCATGGCCCTATATGGAAACTTCCCACCACTCTGCACTATTGCAATTTTACCTTCTCCTTGTCTTCCTAGCTTTTAGCATTTATTGCCATCTTTGTGTTATTTTGATTGATTTCTATTATAAATAACTTTGCTTTATTTGGAGAACTGAAGTTATCTTTCTATTAGCCTATTAGAGAGGTTGATTGTCAACATACAAATTAAGTAAATGAATGGATTATTTTACAAGTTTCATTAAATAATTTCTGACGGAACTATACTCTGAATTCTGATATCCAAATGATATTAGACACTGCCAGAGTATGGTCCGAGCAGCTGAAAGTACTGGAAATGGGAGAAAACACAGGAACAAACATGCACACATGACTTCCGTAGCTGTTCAAGACGCTAGACTCTCCCAATTGTACTTGTACTCACTCATTGATTGCTTAACTCTCAGTGAACCCTTCTTTACATTGTATATTTTACTATCATCCTGTTCTCTCTCCAACACCTCCCTGCCCATTAATTGGTGACACACCTAGCCCATTATTTATAGGCCCTTCGTATCCCGAATACAACCTGCACTAATTTGAATATGGATGGGACCCAACTATTCCAGATGCTTCAACAATAATAAGCACTGCTAGAGTATGGTCTAGCAGCTGAAAATACTGGAAATAAGAGAAAATGCAGCTACGAACAACAAGCCTTGTCCCATTAGATAGGGTTGGTTACATGAATTGAACGACGCCATTATGCTCTATCATTAATCAAGCTTTTAGGAATATTTTTAACCAAAAAGTCATGTTCAACAGCTTCAAACACCATAAAAAATTCCCTAGCTGTTTGAGAGGCTACACTCTCCCAAGTGTACTCATTTTTGCTTTACCTTTTAAAGCCTCCTTTACAATATTCCACCGCCTTCCCCTTTTCACTAAAGTCTCCAAAAGCTTAGTTGTTAATAGAATACAATGGCATTGTACAATTTATGTAGCCAATCCCACCTAATAAAATAAGGCTTGTAATTGCTGTTCTCCTTTTCTCTCTCCTACACCCTCTGGCCCATAAATCAGTAGACTTGTCCCATCATTTTATTATGTTATCTTGCCCTTTTGAAACTTAAATGTGTTGATGCCTCATGGTTGCCACCAAAATCACTTTTTCCAGTCATGATTCTGCCAGCCCACCTATCAACCTGAACCTAGATCTAATTGCTTAGCACTATCGATTGCTACCAAATTAGAAACTCTTTCTCTTCTTGCTGCCAAATTAAAATTCAGTTGGAACAATCCAAACACAGTATAAACCAGTTTCGAATTTGGAGAGAAATTTCACTGTCTGTAGGATTAAAGCTCACTTGTAGACAACCTTTGGTGATTGAGGAACCCTTTGCAATGACCATGCAAACACGTGGAATTTCATTAGTTTGATGGAGGATATTAGTTAGGTTGGATTTTAAAAGAAGAAAAATATCTTCTCTATTGCCAAAACTTTGAGGAATTGAATGTTGAGATTGTGGCTCTGTACCTAGGGGGTGATGCACTTGATAAGGCTTAAGGGTTTAAGCGAGCTACTAAGTTGGAGTCCAAATTGGCCTGCATCATTCTTCATAGATGTCCAATTAGTCCTACACCTGAAAGCCCACTATCATCACTCCATGCTCTGCATGTGAAGCTTCTGCTACATCCTCCTAATTCTTACCACAACTTTCTTGCACGAGTCAAATGCCATCATAGTGGACATGTGATTGTGAAAGCTAAGATGGATTTTAGAAGTGGCTTTGCTTTTGCTGAATGAAGAATACTCTTTTTGGCATAATCATTAGTCATCATTTGCACTCCAAAGATTATGACCAGCTACATATGAGTCAAAGTAGATGAGGAAGCTAAAGCATTGAAAAATTCTAACCCAACAAGTGTAGCTGAAATTTCCTATACTTATTTTGGTGAAAATTTCATGTACGGCTATGAGGCTTAAAGGGAAAATTAGACTCTGTTCGGTAATTATTTCAGTGAACTCCGCCTATGTTTATAGCCGGTCCCAAGCCCGGGTAAAGGAGGAGGGTTGTGTTAGGCCATCAACAGCCAATGTAAAAATTTGTTGAATCTATCATGAACATGGACAATAGACGTTATAATGTTAATGCTAGGTCGTTGCCCGTAAGTAACGCGCTGCATGGCTCGAGTACAGTGATAAGTGAGTTAGAGCCGCTGCATCGGCGCCCGGATGTAGTGTTAAATGAGCAAGGGCTACCGCGTCATTCTGGACGCACGCGGCTAAAGAAGTTAGTCCATAAGAGCAAAATTAGATTTGGTACTTGGAATGTTGGGACATTAAATTGTAAATCTGTAGAGGTTGTAGGGGTTATGATTCAAAGGAAAATCAATATCCTTTGCTTGCAAGAAACAAAATGGCGTGGAGAAGAAGCTAAGGATATTCAAGGTTTCAAACTTTGGTATACAGGAAAAGTAAGTGCACGCAATGGAGTAGGCATCATTATAGATAAGGAGTGGAAGAAGAACGTTGTAGAAGTTAGCAGAATTGGAGACAGAATTATTTCTTTAAAAATGATAATTGGACGTGAGACTGTTAATATTGTTAGCGCTTATGCGCCGCAAGTCGGGACAGAAGCCAGTCTTAAGGAATTATTTTGGGAGGATCTGGAGGGGTTGATTCGACACATACCACAGAGTGAAAAGATTTTTATTGGAGGAGACTTTAATAGGCATGTCGGGAGGGAAGCTGGTCAGTATGCGAGGGTGCATGGTGGTTTTGGTTTTGGAGAGCTAAACAATGAAGGGCAAACTCTTCTTGATTTCTCATTGGCGTATGATTTTAAGATTGCCAACACTTGTTTCAAGAAGAGAGATGAGCATCTCATCACCTACAAAAGTGGAGCCTCAAGGTCGCAGATTGATTTTCTTTTGGTTAGGAACACAGATAGAAAACTTTGTAAAAATTGTAAGGTGATCCCTGGAGATGCTGTAACGACACAACATAGGGTCCTAGTCCTTGATGTGTGTATTATGAGTAAAATCCAAAAACGTCGACAAGTAGTAACACCAAGGATTAGGTGGTGGCAATTAAAAGGTGAGAAGCAAGATATTTTCAAGAGAAATCTTTTGGATAAAGGAATTTGGGATTCTCAGGGAAGTGCTAACATCATATGGGAGGATATGGCTAAAAAGATACGGGAGGTTGCAAAAGTAGTTTTGGGAGAATCGAAAGGTTCTGGTCCGAGAGATAAGGAGTCTTGGTGGTGGAATAATAGTGTACAGGACAAAATCAAGTATAAGAAGAACTGTTTTAAAGCCATACATTTGTGTAACAATGAGGAAAATTGGGAGAGGTACCGTATGGCTAAGAAGGAAACTAAGAGAGCTGTGGGTGAAGCTCGTTCTAAAGCTTTTGAAGAATTTTATAAGAACCTTGAGACGAAGGAAGGAGAGCAAAATATTTATAAGATTGCCAAGAGTAGGGAAAGAAAATCAAGAGATCTAGAACAGGTAAGGTGTATTAAGGATGAAGAGGGAAGAATTTTAGTTACAGATGATGAAATTAAAAATAGATGGGAGACTTATTTTTCTAAACTTTTCAATGATGGAGAGGATTCATCTAGTAACTTGGAGGATTTAGTAACTGGTGAAGGAGAACAAAATTTGTCATTCTATCGAAAAATACGTGATAAGGAGGTAAAGGAAGCTCTTAAAAAAATGGCAAATGGTAGAGCTAACGGACCTGATTGTATATCTATCGAAGCGTGGAAATGTTTAGGTGAAGAAGGGGTGAGATGGTTAACTAAGTTATTTAATGTGATTTTACGGTCCAAGAAAATGCCTGATGAGTGGAGGAGAAGTACATTAATTCCTATTTATAAAAATAAAGGAGATATTCAGAATTGTACTAACTATAGAGGGATTAAACTCATGAGCCACACAATGAAATTGTGGGAGAAAGTAATTGAGCACAGGTTGAGATTGGAGACAAGTATTTCTGAGAATCAATTTGGTTTTATGCCAGGTAGATCAACTACAGAGGCGATTTATCTACTAAGGGGATTAATGGAAAAGTATCGTTGTAAAGATAAAGATCTACACATGGTTTTTATTGATTTGGAAAAAGCTTATGACCGTATACCAAGAAAAGTGCTTTGGAAAGCGTTGGAAAAAAAGGGAGTACGGATTGCTTATATTAAAGCCATACAAGATATGTATAAGGGGGTAAAAACTAGTATAAGAACGCCTTAGTGGTCAAACAAAGGATTTTCCTATAAAGATTGGACTACATCAGGGATCATCTCTGAGTCCTTATTTGTAAATTTGATAAAGGACTATTCGAAAATAATTTGGAAGTGAAATTGGGAGATCAAATTATAACTCAAGTGGAAAAGTTTAGATATTTGGGAGCCATTATTCAAAATGATGGCGAAATCAGTGGAGATATTTCACATAGAATTCAAGCTGGGTGGTTTAATTGGAGAAAAGCTAAAGGAGTTATTTGTGACCGTAAGGTGCCTAATAAACTTAAAGGAAAGTTTTATCGTACTGCTATCAGACCGGCAATGTTATATAGTAGTGAATGCTGGGCTCTAACGGGACAGCAAGAGCATAAAGTTGGAGTAGCAGAGATGAGAATGTTACGATGGATGTGCGGACATACACGTAAAGATAAAATTCGAAATGAGCACATACGTGAAAAAGTGAGGGTGGCACCTATTGAGGAAAAAATGGTAGAAAATCGGTTGAGATGGTTTGGGCATGTACAAAGAAGACCAAGGGAGGCACCAGTGAGAAGAGTGGAACATATAACTTTGAGTCCGATTAAGAGAGGTAGAGGAAGGCCTAAGAGAACACTCTTGGAAGTTGTTGAACGTGATCTCTTAATTAATAATATTTCTAAAAGCTTAATAAATGATAGAACACAATGGCGTCTTGCAATCCATGTAGCCGACCCCACCTAGTGGGATAAAGGCTTGTTGTTGTTGTTGTTGTTTGTCGGTAATTATTTCAGTGGAACGTGGATATGGATCAATCCATAATTTGATAACCAGTACTTTGGTAGATGAGCACTGTTTCCTCATTGAACTAGTAGTTCCATTGGGCGTGCAAATTGGGATTGGAGACATCACATATGATGCAATTTCACTTGTATAGAACTTTCAGTATGGCTTCAAGGTCTGTCCATCATGGAAAACTTTTATCCATTTTCAAGCAGGGGTGTTGATTTAATTTTTGGGACTGAGTGGCTAGTTTCTCTAAACAGTGTACATGCAAATTGGAATGAGGTATTTTTGATCTTTCACCTGAATGGAAAGATGTCCATTTACCATTGATGCCACTTGAATTATACTAGAGCATTCCAATAACCAGGGAGTATCGTGAATTGTGTGAAGAAAGGCATGCATAGGCCAGAATTATATATAAAGATGAAGCCAAAAATATAACACACTTGTCATGCTAAAAAAAAGTTAAAATACATATTAGAGCAATAATGGTGGGCAATAAGTGCCACCATCTATAACATAATGGCGGACATTTCCACATAATCAGGAGCAAAGATAAGGGAGATTTGATCTAATTTGGAGAGTAAATAGATAGATCATGCTAAATATTTTCTCAATTTGTGCTCATATATTAACACCACTGTTCGTTGATTTGGCAAGATGCCTTGTGACCAAGACAAGTCAAACTCAATTCCTGATTCCACAGTCACTTCCAAGCTTTTAAAATCATATTCATTGAGCCTAACCATTTTCCTCTCTCACTTGCAGTGCAGTATTCCTTTATTACCGCATTTGAAGCCTCCTAACTTGGAGATTTTTCTGTTACCCACAAGCTCCTAAAATGGAAATTGAATAATCATTGGCTGACCTTTTGGAAGTATGATTCATTTGACCCAGTTCAAGTCCATTTTCTAGTCACTTTTGCTGGTTAAGAAGGACAAGTCCCAGAGGTTTTGTCTAGATAATCAGGGTCTCAATCATATTGTGTTTGATGAGTATCCAATTCATAATATTGATGACTGGCTGAACTAATTGCATGAAGCTAGAATGTTTTCGTTGTGGATGTCATCGGATAAGAATCAGTCCAAATGTCATTTGCAAGACTGGATCCAAATCTCATCCCAGACATTACCAATTTCTAGTCTTGCCATTTGGCCTTACCAATGCACCCTCAACATTTCAGGTTACCATGTATGATGTACTTTGCTTTTGCTTGTAAAGTACAGGCTTTAACAGAATGGCATTAATTGCCAAGGATGCTAGTTCCAGAGTCTGTGCGGAAGGTGGTGCTTGTAGCTGTTTCCAGTAGTCCTTTTTCTTTCCTCGACCCTTTTTTGTGCATGCAACCAAACAGAATTCATACTTAGTAGCAATTAAGTATTGTTTTACTGCTGATGTATAATTTCGAGTTGTCAAATGTGGGTAAGGGTTGGGTTACTAATTTGACTGCCTGTTTGCTTAAGGGCCAGTGAGGCTTTTTGACATCATCCTTCATAAGATTTTATTTCTACTGTTGGTCACTAGAAATTGGATCTGGATTATTAATATTGGTTTGTGCTTATGTAGATATGTTGTGAGGGCCAAGGCAGGAAAAAAACAGTCATCAAAAGATGCTACTGGTAGAGCTGCACATTCTGCTGGGGCTTCACTTCGTCGCCACAATGAACTTGCATTAAAGAAGGTATTCTAATCAAAGCTATATTGATGAGTGTCAATTGTTGATTGCTATGTTAATGAATTTTTTTTGTGCAATTGTGTCTCAAATTGGCCTGATATAGTGAACATGTTGCACCAGATTGAGATTGTAAATAATATATCCGTAAATAATGTGTGTATGAGCTTTTTTCCCTTATTTGAAATTTTCATCTCTGCTGGGTAGCAGGAAACTTGAAATTAATAAGGTTAAGGATTCTGTAAACTGCTGAGGGTATTTCTTCTTTTGAATTATATTGGTAAGAGTAATTAAACTGAATTTGCATTAAATCTTTTCCTATATAAAAAAAGCAATGTATATATGTATGTTTAACAATATGGAGAATTTACACCTCTATGAATGCCAACTTAAAGTGGTTTATGATTTTAGTAGTGACTAAAGTTTGGTCCCTTGAGATGTCAACACTCCTAGTATCATTTGTATGGTTATTGATTTGCAATTAGATTAATCAATTGACAACCTTGTGGTTATATCTCATAATTTGATATTGATTGCCCTATGAGTAGTAAATTTTGACATAATGTTTTTGTTTTTTTCTTGTTTTTTCCGTGAAAAGAATTATTCTTCCCATTTAATTCCACAGGTTTCCTCCTTAGAATGCGAATCTGGACAAAGAAGTTTGCTTTCTTTTTCCTTCAAGTTTTTCCCTTTATTTGTTTGTTTGCATGTTTCACTCATTTTTTTCTTGTGATTTTTTTTTTTGGGTTTTTAACCAACTTGTGCAAAACAAGTTTAAGAACTCACTGTTGTTGAACAAATCTTTTCAGGAAATTCAAGAGCTGCTTACTTCTTGGAGAACTTATTTTGATGCTTCGAATTGCATATTCCTACATGCTCCCTCAAGTAGTCGGCAACTGTTCTTTGATGGAGAGAGACCATATTTTAGCAATCAGCATAATGTTATTAGAAACATTCCATTGACTGTTCGAAGGCCTACTTTAAGAGAAGCAAAGCGTGTATATAGCCAGTTGACTCAAGTATCCAATGAAGCAGAAGAGGATTTAGAGTCAACATCCATTACCGTAAGAAACACTGACCGAACCATTGACAAAGAGGCCTCTGCTAACTTGGATAGCAATGATAAAAGTGAGGCATGTTCGAGTAAACAAGATAATTATGAACTCTGTATTTCAAGTGCAAGTGAGAGTGAAAGCGGGATGGTAGGTAAATCAACCCCTTTACATCAGGCTTCACAATCTGGTGATTCACACAAGGTTTTGGAGCTGCTGGAACAGGGCAATGATCCTTGCATCAAAGATGAAAGAGGAAGGACCCCTTATATGTTGGCACATGATAAGGAAGTGAGGAATACTTTTAGAAGATTCATGGCATCAAACCTTGAAAAATGGGACTGGTATGCGGCAAAAGTGCCTAGTGCATTGACCAAAGAAATGGAAGAATCACAAGCAGCTAAACAGGTGATTGTGATAGACCTGATGTAATAGATTTTCAAATCTATTTATTTACAAAACTAGTACTTTCTTGTTATCTGCTTTGTTCATTTACTGTGTATTATTGTTGTTGTTGTCATGGACCCAATCTTAATGGGCTTCAGTGAAAATATGTAGCTGGAAGAAAACAGATAAAATAGAAGAGAATGATAGAGTTGTTCCTGATGAGTTGTCCAGAGGTAACTAATTATGAGTTGAGTGGGTGAGCTTGAGAAGGGGACTGGGTAGTTAGAAAAATGCAGATGAAGTTTCAGTGGGGAGAAAGTCAAGGAGAAGATCAAAAAGTACTCTTCTACTCCAATGTTGCTGTATGGTAGACTTGTTATCAAAATTCAATAAAACAGCTAAGTTACAAAATTGCAACACAGAGAACAAGAAGAAAAGTCTAGGAGGGAAATAAGCTAATGTGATTGAAAGTCTTTCTGAAGCTTGCTGGAGAACAAGTTCCTGTTGGACCATTGAAGTTTGTACTTCTATGTTGTCAAATGTTGCTTGTATACCAATGTGCTAGCAGGTAGCAACATCCAATAGATGATTATTTGTTCTTCTTTTTAATTAATCTTGGGATTACAATAAATCAAGGCAAGATAGCCTTTCATATCTTCAGGAACTTTTGAAACAAGCAAGTTCAAAGGAATACAACAGTCAGAATGCTGATCATTTTGACCATCACTAGACTGGCCAATATATTATAGCTTGTTGAGTATGAACAATTGAAGTTTGAATTGATTATATCCCCCATCTGATTGGGAGTAATGCATTGCCATGCTTGTAAGTATTTTGTTTATGCAACCTTACCTTCCATCACCTAAATCTATCACCAATATTTTGTTTTGGAAGATGTTTTTCTTTGATAACTTGTTGGAGTCAGTGGTTTTTTTATTTAAGTTTTAATAGTCAAACTTACAATTTTTGGGACGCAGTAATGATTGCCCATTTTTGCCTGTGCAGGCTGAAAAAGATGCCAAGAGAAAAGCCAGAGCAAAAGAATTAAAAAAATTGCGTAAAGCAAAAGAAAAGAAGGCCCAGGTACATATTAGCTGGTTCGTCTCAAATGTTTTATGATGGCATCATATTCATCTTTTGTTGGACTTATTTCTGAGAGTATTGTACAGTCTCCTATTGACTATGTCGGCTAACAGATGAGAAGATGTAGAAATTTAATAATTCCTGCCTAATATTTGAATACTCTGTTTACATGAATATATAGTCACTGGTTGAGTTAGTGACACTGGTTTTTGGCATTGGGCTGGTGCGGGCACTGAGGTTTGGTCGTTCTCAGCGTACCCCTTCCCATACTGAATCATGGTGGGAAAGATTTGGACGCTGATATGATGTGAATTTGTGAGGGGAAATAGCCAGTGACTATCAAATTGCCTGGCTTCACCTTTATTCATCTCAGGTGGAATAATAAAGAGACACAATTTTAGACTTTCAGTTTAATAGCAGGTAAACAATCCCTAAAACTCGGAAATATCAAACAGCCTAACAACCAAAAAAAAAAAAAATGACAGCAGGATATTAGAGAAAGAAATTTGGAACATGTGATCATTAACAAACAAGAATGTTTGCATCCTGTCTTAAAGATTTCAATAGATATGGCCAGTAGCTATTTTAATTAACCTCTGAACTATGTTCTAAGCAGGCCTTAATGGATCTGTGAGCCTATCTTATCAATTATTCTTATGTTACATACACTAACAATAAGTTCATTAAGAAGGTTTGTCTTAAAGTTTGAGATTCTAAATGGTGTAGTGAAATAGTTGATTTTAGTGAGAAGAGAACAATGGATGCTCATTCAGATGATATTTTCTTACTCCCTTGTCTTCTCATTTCCCTTTTGACCCTGCAAACACCACACAGATATGTTGTGATAGAGTTCATGATCAATTGAGAACTACAGTGTTTTGCTGATTTTTAAGTAGGAGGCAATCAGGCAAAGAGCTTTGCTTAGCTTCAGATTTGCACTGGAATTTTCTTTGAGGAGCTTTGATTGGCATAATACTGTCTTCCAAAATAATAATGATTATAATAATAACAAAAACAACAGCAATGCATGTTACACTTTTAACTCTGCGTCTGCATATGATGATAACATTGGTCAACTCAAGTGTATTCTAGCATTTGATTTGGATTTAAATTTTTACTACATCATCCATGATCCGTTCTTCAATCTTTCTCCTTCTCTGTTCTTCATCCCTTGCCATGAAAATCTTCTGACTCATGATTCTTCTTGAAAGAATGCTTTAGGCAGTATGTGTCTTTCACTCAGTATACTCCCAAAAGAAAAATAAAAGATAAAAAGATGCCGCGATGTGATTACACAAGATGTTAGTGAATTTCCTTTTTTCTCATGTGGATTACTGTCATTTTCTTCCTTAAACTAGACCATTGCCTCTGTTCAGCTTGGAAACATTTTTTATCTATTCTTATATACTCCACTAGGCATGCCCTGGGTATAAAACGAAGGAGAGATGACTGGAAGTGGAAATAAGATTCTAAAACAGAACAATTGACCTTAAATACTGCTGTAGTCCAACTGGGCTCCTGCTTAGGTAGTAAGCTGCGCCAACCTAAGGGGATTAATGGAAAAATATCGTTGTAAAGATAAAGATTTACATATGGTTTTTATTGATTTGGAAAAAGCTTATGACCGTATACCAAGAGAAGTACTTTGGAAAGCGTTGGAAAAAAAAGGAGTACGGATTGCTTATATTAAAGCCATATAAGGTATGTATGAGAGGGTAAAAATTAGTATAAGAATGCCTAGTGGTCAAATAAAGGATTTTCCTATAAAGATTTGACTACATCAGGGATCATCTCTGAGTCCTTATCTGTTTAACTTGATCCTAAATGTTTTGACGAAACATATTCAAGGGGAAATTCTTAAATGTATGCTCTTTGCGGATGATATAGTTCTTATAGCAGAGACAAGAGAAGAGGTTAATTGCAAACTTGAGTTATGGAGGAGGACATTGGAGTCGAAAGGTTTCCATCTGAGTAGGAGTAAAACGGAATATTTATATTGTAAATTTGGTAAGAGACTATTCGACAATATTTTGGAAGTGAAATTGGGAGATCAAATTATACCTCAAGTGAAAAAGTTTAGATATTTGGGAGCCATTATTCAAAATGATGGCGAAATCAGTTAAGATATTTCACATAGGATTCAAGCTGGGTGGTTTCATTGACGAAAAGTTAAAGTAGTTATTTGCGACTGTAAGATGCCTAATAAACTTAAAGGAAAGTTTTATCGTATTGCTATCAGACCGACAATGTTATATAGTAGTGAATGCTGGGCTTTAACGGGACAGTAAGAGCATTAAGTTGGAGTAGCAGAGATGAGAATGTTACGATGGATGTGCGGACATACACGTAAAGATAAAATTCGAAATGAGCACGTACGCGAAAAAGTGAGGGTAGCACCTATTGAGGAAAAAATGGTAGAAAATCGATTGAGATGGTTTGGGCATGTACAAAGAAAACCAAGGGAGGCACCAGTAGGAAGAGTGGAATATATAACTTTGAGTCCGATCAAGAGGAGTAGAGGAAGGCCTAAGAGAACACTCTTGGAAGTTATTGAACGCAATCTTTTAATTAATAATATTCCTAAAAGCTTGATAAATGATAGAGTACAATTGCCTCTTGCAATCCATGTAGTCGACCCCACCTAGTGGGATAAAGGCTTCTTCTTGTTGTTGTTGTTGTTGTAACCTGAATCCTGAATGCTAGTTATATGTTGACATGGTTTAAATCCCGCAGCCAATTCCAATCTGGATATAACCAGCCATGGAAATAAAATTTTCCACCAGTTTATTTCTAGTTGCATTTATGTGCATGCAAGGAGAGGAGGATAATTTTTCTACTCCCCCCCCCCAAGCTGAAATATTATTATTATTATTATTATTATTATTATTATTTATTTATTTATTCTGACTGATGTTCGATGTGTTGTTCAGGCTGAAGCTGCTAAGAATGCTTCCAAAACTGCAGAAAGCCATGTGAATTCTTCAACTTCTATTACTCGCAAGGGACAATTTCCACTCAACAGTGGGTTGAAATTATCTGAAGAGGTTAGATACTGAGCTTTTGCTAGCTAATTTTGGCCAAGTCTTTTGCAATTTTAGTGACTCGAAAATATAATGTTATGCGTCGGTCAAAAAGGGCAAATATCATGTTATGCTTTTGATATAGCTGGTGATTCCCTAAAGATTTGGATATCATTTCCTAAGACCTACGGTAGACAATCTAGGAAGGGAAGTGATTTAGGAAGGCTAAAAAAACCCAGTGGTCAAGAGATTTATCCCAAGCTTGTTATCTATGGGATTAAAAGGGTAAAGGACAAGTTAGGTTAGTTGTAGCCAAAGACATAGGTAGTGTTGGTAGGGGCAAGTACCACTTTTTGGCTCTTCAAAACTGTTATTTTGTGTAGAGGGAAGGGTGTGATGTATTTTGTATTTTGAAAGTGGTGAGGAGAGTTTTGGCCTCTCAAATGCTAGGTTGAGTGGAGGAAGTCATCTTTCCTCATAATTTTATCTTCTGCATAGTGTGTGTTTGTGAGTGAGTTACTTATATTTTGTGATTGTTTGGTGAAGTGTATTTTGTGCTGTTTCTTTTTCAGTACGCTGTAATTTCCAGTTCCTTCGCTTGCAATCCAACTTTGTTATTCAGTAATAGTAATTTTCAGTTCCCGTTTGTATTGTATTCTCTGGTTTATGCTTGCTTAAAGCTTATTAGAATAGAGGGTTGCATCAGCTTTTCTTAGATTCCCAGATCTTCCCATCTGAGCGCTATATATGTTAAATTAATATCAACAAATGCACCGCTCAATTTCATCACTTGCTTCATCTCAATCAGGAGCAACTAAAGAGCTCATGCCAGCTGCTCTGAGAGAAGAATTGCTGCCCTCAAGATTCAAGGTATCATTATAAATACTGCAGCACTTCATGCATGCATGTACACAGGGAGATCTTAGAGGATGGGTGAGAATGTTCCGTTAATATTGGTTTCATTCTACAAGATTACTCCTGACCCACCATTGTTCTTGAATATCTGGTTATGTTGGATTAGGGAGGGAGAGGAAAGAATTAAGTAGCTTGAGCATTTTTGTTTGAAGGGTGTATAGTCACCACGATTTTAAAATATTGGAAGAATTGCTTGATTGTTCGCCTTTGCCAGGTATTAAGAAGAGCATAGTTCTCCATTTCATTATTTGCTCACCTTTTTAACTGCATGGTTTTCTTGTCTTTCGGCTCCATCAGGCGCCCCCCCCCCCCCGGGGGGGGGGGGTGGGCGGGATTTGTCATATGAACATGCTAGGTCTGTGGAATGTGGCACACAAAGCTATATAACCTATAGCATAATCTAGATCCCAATATACGAAAATTCATACCCTTGCTCCTCCTATAGTTATTATTTGTTTAGTTTAGTGTGTGTGTATCTCATTCATTTTTATAGCTGGTAACATAATTTAATTCACACCTTTGTTTATTTTTATTTTCTACAGTTTTAAGCTGTGCTTATCAAATTTTAATTGTTTGAATTTGATTACTTACTTTTTAGAATTTAACATTTTAATAATAATTTTATAAAGATAAATTTGTATCGTTATAAATTCCAATGTTAATCTCATAGTAGTCCCATCAAGATCAATGGATTCCGTCAAAACCTTTTATTAACCAAAATCATCATTATTCCAGTCAAAACCTAACATAAAAATTATAGAGAGGAAGAGGGATGAGATAGACCACATACTCAAGTGATTTAAGTTCAAAATAAGCCTCCCAAGGACTCCCCAATAAAATAGAGTGGTGGAAAGAAATAAAGAAAGAATAGAACTTCATAGGAGATGATTAGAGGAATGCTGAATGAAAAAGAACTCTTAAAATATTTTTGAACAGATGCAATGAGTACAGCTTACTTCATGACCAATAAAGCTAATGTGAGGCCAATCTTAGGCAAGACTCCATATGAGTAATATAAAGGAAGAAAGCATAATCTCTTTCATTTACATGTTCATTGTAAGTGTTTTGTGTTTAATAATAGTAATGATAATTTAGATAAGTTTGATTATAAAAGTAAGGAAGATGTCTTTTTTAGGTTACTTTAATAGAAGCAAAGTGTTTAGAGCCTTTAATAAAAGAATTTTAATTATTGAAGAGTCTATTCATATTAGATTTGATGAATCCCCTCCAATTGAGATAAAAGAGGAAGAGACTATAAATCTCCCCTGGTGATCTTTCACCGGATGATAAGGGGAAAAAAAATCAAACTTACAATGAACCTATGATTTGCAATGAAAATGAGCAAACCAACACTCTTAAAAAGTTGGAAGCATAGTAAGTCTCATTCCATTGATTTTGTGCAATAATAACTTAAACAAATAATAACTTCAACATAAAGGAATAAGTTTCACAACTCAAGTAACAATCATTAAGGCAACATAGTCATACTCATACTTCTATCACATATTCCATGCCATCAACAATATAGAATTACAACTAGCAAACATAATTATATATATTAAAATTAAATTCTCAGTTATTTCAATTCTTAGGTTTACCAATTCTAAGAATGTGATTTTGATTTCCAAGGGAGTTTTCCAACAACTTGACAAACTCCAAGCAATCAATCTACACATTGAGGTTAATAGATATCAGTAATGATTAATTATCATTAATTAACTTTTAATCATGATTAAAGCCTAATACCCTCATGGTAGTGTTTGAAAAATTATCTATTTTATCCAATATATATTACGAGTTTTATAGTACAAGTTTTTTCACAATTCCAAAGTAATATTTAATAACAATTTTCTTATCTTATTCTTTAGAGTAATTTAGTATTTATTATTAAATATTTTTTAGAAGTATTATATGAGGGGAAAATTTAATAAAATGTGATATATTTTATATATTTATTACATTTTTTAATATATGTACAATAATCATAAGAAAAACGATAATGAAATGGATGGATGGAGTATTTTATGGGAGAAAATTCCAAAAAAAAAAAGAAAAAAAAGTGAAATATGATAAGCTGACTATAGAGTATAACTAGTTGACTGCAAAAGTTGTCTTGGTTGATGTGATAAAAGTATAAATTATTATAGAAAAAATTATTTTTTTAATCTTTCAATTTTTAACTCACTTATAACTCAATCCCTCAACTATGACTTGTTGCGACTCAGTCCCTCAACTATAACTCACTGTGACTCAATCCCTTAACTTTTGATTCATTTATAACTTAGTCCTTATTTTTTATTTTTTTAAAAAAATTTCTTATCAAATAAGAGGGATAAAAAATGTTCATATATTATTTTAAAATATCCTCCTCTTGCTCATTGATATGAGATATAAGCTAACATAAAAAAAAATCAACAAAAGTTAAGGGACTAATTTGTAAGTGGAGGGACTGAGTTATAGACAAGTTATAATTGAGGGACTGAATCACAGTAAGTCATAGTTGAGGGATTGGGTTACAAGTGATTTAAAAGTTGGAGAACTAAAAGATTAATTTTTTTTATTATTATATCTTAGTAACTTTAAAAGCTCAACTACAACAAACATTATTGATTGCACTAAGTTCAGGTGAGTCAGTTTTTAAGAGCCTATGATTAAAAAGATGAAGGGCCTTTTTTTGAGGGAGAAAAAAGAAAGAAAGTGGAAGAGAGAGGAAAAATAAGGTGAAAATAGAGTTTTAAAACACATCATTTAACATGCCCATGAGAACATACATAATTTTTAATTAAAATATGTATTTATAATGTGAAAATATTAAAATGCTCCAAAACTCCCTTACAAGCCACTTGGCCATAACCTCACGTATCTCTCTTTTTCCTCTCTCCTATTCCTTCCCTGCTTATATCCCACTCTGATCCTCTCTCAGATGATGCCTCAATTCTCTCATCCTTGGTTTGCCTTTTTCTGTGCAATTATTGACTCTTCCTCCAAAACCCAAAAAACAAAAAACAAAAACTTCATTCTCTTGCTTCACAAATTTTCATTCTCTTACTTCAGCAGATAATCTAAAACAACAATCGACATCTCAAATTGAAACTAATCAATACAACCACAGATAATCAAAACCCCAAATGAATCCATTATTAAAATCTTCCTATTGTAGACAATCAAGAATACAAAGAAAGGAGAAGAGCGTGAAATTTCCAAACGAGGTCGGAGAGGAGATAATAAATGCTGGCGATATTGGCGGCGGAGTTGGGAGACACCATGGACGAGGAGCTGGAGAAGAAGATGCAGGTGGAGGACGTTTCAATGCGTGACTGAGCACAGCCAGAGCATGCCGTCTTCTCACTCGCTTCGTCGCCGGCTTCAGTCGAGCTCCATGGTTGTCCTCTCATGTTGTCGTCAACAGAAGCTTGGAGGGCAAAGGACTTTCATTTCCATTTTCACTTCTCTAGTCTCAAGCATATCAAACAAGGCATAAGGGCTTCACACTACTACTCTCTTTGTTGCCAAACAAAAGCAATATTACCATTTTTCATAGCTGTACGTTTCCTTGCTTATATTTGAGAACTAGGAGAAAAACAATCACCTTGTTCAATCGGTGTTCTATGCGGCCACCAAGTCACGGCTATTATGTGGCAAGAGATTCAGCTGCCCCACCCTCCTATGCCGGTGCCGGCGGCTGCAGCGGACACAGAGGTGGTATATTTTGCGGAGCAAAGAGATAAACTCAGGGAGCACAAGAAGGACATAGAAAAGGAACTGAAACTTCCAGAGAGAGGGAGGGAGAAGCAAAGACGCCAAAGAAGCCACTGAGAAGGAGCCGAGAAACCACGAAATGGTTACAATTAGCTGAGAATTGAATAAAGCAGGAAGCCAACGTCGAGCCAAGAAGGGCAGGTAATAATAGCCCAGAACACTGACGACGGAAGCCATGGAGGTGACCGGCCGGACTTGGAACAGGGAGGGCCCGGTTCCGACGGCCTGGATCTGAAGGAAGCCGAGCAGAACTGGGATGATGAAAGCGATCATGGAGTGTGGAGACGTGAAGTAGTTAG